TATATATATATATATATATATATATATATATATATATATATATACATATATATATATAATATATATATATATATATATATATATATATATATATATATATACATATATATATTATATGTGTGTGTGTGTGTTGTGTGTGTGTGTGTGTGTGCCGAATATGTAAAACTGGTCGTGTAGCAAAGAACTCATTTAAAATTAAGTCCTTTCTGAAATTTTCTCTTATACGTTTAAAGATATACTTTTTTCATTAATGTTAATGTAAAAAAAAATTATTTTTGCACTAAAAGAATCTAAGAAAACTTACCTAACCTTATTATAACAAGAACAATTTATTTTAGCCTAACCCAACTAAATATATTTTAAATACGTTTACAATAATTTAGTGCTAAACAAACACAATCAAATATATTTTTTCCGTTAGGTTCAGAATGATTTTGGCGAAATTATTGCATACACAAATTTTCACTTGTCCTATATGGCAAGATGAACGTTGCTATTTAAGCCAAGATCGCAAGTTCTGCCTATTCGGCACGACATATATATATATATATATATATATATATATATATATATATATATATATATACACACACACAATATCTCTTAAGTGCAAAAACTTCCAATTAAAACAAAATCGAGCACACGTTGTCTTGATGATTAGACATATATTAAGCTTAGATATCAAATATTTCTACACATTCACTATTCAGAGTACAACGCTTGTACTGTATAGTGATTTTGCAATACACAAACTTGCAGTACGCGAGCTTTCATTGATAAGCAATGCGATAAACTCCTAATTTATATCATTATGTGGTGAACAATATACCTCTCTACAATGGGAAGGAATTGTAAGCTTACAAAAGCCTTGCAACATACCTGTACTTTGTGTGGGAGTGGGTAGCAAGGCTACGTGAGTGGCAGGTATGGGACGGAGGAAAAAATGTATAGCAGATCTTTTAGTTATACGACGTTTTACCTTCAAGAGGACTTATAAAGTACTTCTTTTAGGTGATATATCGTATTTAATAAAAGTCTACGTTTGCTATAGGTTTTTTTTTTTTTCAGAACTTGTCTTTACACATCCTCTGTGCCACGGCCCCTCATATAGTAAGTAAACATTTGCAAAGTCAAATACCAAGCAGTATTTTGAAAGATGATACCCAATATTTTTACAGAGATAAAATCGTTACGCATTCACGTAACTTTATTTATCATAGTTAATCTCGAAACTATTGCTAGCATTAGAGTATAAAAGCAGTGGTTAGCCGACTTGTGAACGCAGCCTCCTCGACGACACAGAAGACGGTATCATAACATTAAAGTCATGGGCAGATCATTATCAAAACAATGGTGAGAGTCATACATAGTTCAGTATGAAGCTTAACAATAGGAATTTTATATAACATTCTTCCCCATTTCTCTTTAAAATATTGATAGTGCTATTTTCACCATTACTACTACAACTATTACTACTGTTGTTATTCATAGTATAATGTGAAACTGAATAAGTTAAATATGCCTTTAAGATGGGATTTTTACATAAATAATACAACAGGGCTTAAATATTACAAACTATTTAACATACTGTTGAGATATTCCTCGCTGACCATCTCCCTGTTGTACAGATGCAATAGTTTGCGATACCCAGAGAACCTAGATATATCATTCCTTAACTTGCTTCAAAGAATCGAATATAAAACATTCTTGACATTTCTCATATTTTGTTTTCCGCTTATCAGTGTTGCCCCAAGGAGGGAGGGAGGGAGGGAGGGCATCTGAAAGTGAAGGTAGACAAGTGCCGAGTTTATTCATCTCGCTTAAAAGGGGAAAAAACTTGTTCAATTACGCTAGTGCGTGGTTGTGTGTGCTGACCCAACACTCGGCAGGTCGTCAACCCGTGCCAGCGAGAGTTACTCTGGGATACAATAATTTCTCTCCATATCTCCGTCTGGGCTATACTCATAAATAAAATCATACTTGTATTACATTTCCCTTTCTGACTCCGAATGATGTTATTAAAGAAATTATTAAGTGCAATTTCGGTTTTCTGAAGTAACCAATACGAATGCACTGAATTCACTATGGTCCAGCCTTCAATGGAGTGATGGTTAGAACTTCAGTATGTCCGTGAAAATGAGCTTTTTTGATGCTTTTTCACCACAGACTGAAACGCCGAGGCCAGTCATGGTTCACTGGCCGGAGTTGGTAAACGAGCCAACCACATGGATGTCAAAAATCACCTCTTCATTCTGAGTTTAGTTAATAAGGTGAACAATCTTGTTGAAGACAGAGATCATACATAGTTTTAAGAGTAGGTATGATATAGACAAACAGTCCAGGAATAGTGTGACCAACTGCTGGCGAGTATATGACCGGTGGCTGGGCCAGTAACATAGACGAACTCTGGAGCCACAAACAGTTGAGTACAGGCTACACCCGTGTCCACATGCTCTGTGCTGTTATGAATTTGTTATGATAACGTAACAATAAGACTTTGTGAAACAACGGTAAAAATCAGTCGGGGTATAGTGACAAAAATGACAAAGTTTAACTGGTAATGAAGAAATATTTCACTGATTATCACACAAAGTATAAAGAGGTCAAATGGTTTACTTACTCTTAACCTCCTGCTAAAATGGTTCGTTATACTTTACTGTGTTTCCTTGTTCATCTCTGTTCAGAGTCTATGTTAAGGTGCAGTAGTAATTATTATTAATATAATAAAAAAGAAGCGCTGAACCTACTAGGGTCATAAAACGCAGTAGTAAACATATCTCTGTTGTGGGGTGACCTCGTTAACCACTGTACTAAGGTTCATAGGTATGTGGAGTTAATTACGAAAGTGATAGTATTTTTTTGCGAAGCCCATAGTAAGGTTAACGTTTTGGGCATTTGTTAAGCGAACAGTTATATCAAACGGACACGTTAATTTTAATATTAATTGAATGGCTTAATGTCAATGTTTATTATACACCAGTGTAAATTTGCCGATATAAGCTCAAATCTCCTGCTGAGGCTTCAATAACAAGTATTTACTAAATATTTCGAGTATTATAACATGTAAACACAGCGCTTGTTGAAGTGGGCGCGGGTTTAACTTATAATGTGAAAACTAACACTTCCTCAGGGAAATTAAGTTTGCTTATCAATTCGGGAAGACTAAAGTCATTAAGTAACGAAAATTATTAAGGAACACTATTAGAACGTTGCCTTCGGAAGCGATGTTAACATGATTTGTTATTGTTTGGTAGGTGTGGCGGGAAGGCAGAAACTATTTATCATTTCAAACACCAAGGAGGTTGGAGGATAATTCTCAGATTTTAAAATGTGTGTCAACGCAAATTCGGAGGTCTTCCTCCCTAGCCTATCAATTTATCGAGTCGCCAGAACACTTGGAAGAGTAGAGACAAGCAATGTAAGCGCTTTATGCAAGGTATCAGAGGATTTCTTGGCAACCACTATGCTCGGTGTGTGAAGGGTCCACATTAATGATTTTACTAGCTTGAGGTGGCCATCCTGTGATCAGTTAGTTATTTACCTGAACTGTTATCATTTCCATTACAAATGGGGCGAAACCCCAAATAGGTAGAATATGTGTAGCTATATATATGCAGTAGTCCTTAATAACCTAGTGATCATGCTGTTTGTGGTCTGAGGTAAATTAGAAATTAATTATTAACCCTGCTTTTATATTAGAGATTTCTTAATTTATCGTTATTTACAGTTAACAAGTTATCCGAACACCATAGTTAGCTCCCAGACCCCAGCTTCAGGGACGCTTGTTCAGGGGCAGGCAACCGGAAAGGCCTTTTGATAGGCTTTGAACCTAACGAAAATTAAAATAAACAAAGCCCAAACCTAGGAGGAAGGAAAATTTATTTTTTCGTGACAACTGTTATATTTTTCATGTCCCCATGCTGATATTTGTATCAACAAGTTGCATTCTTTACACCCTATCGTGTCACCAACTGCCCAGACATCCACTCCGGACACCTAAATTGTGAGATTTATCATTTTATTATTGCATTCATAGAGAGCGCTAAGCTCGTAGGGATCATACGGCGCCTGGTTAATGGGAGGCAATCATACTTAATACAAGGAAGGAAACATAAGCTGTATTTCCTTAGACCAAAAGCCCTTCACTGGTATGAATTCACCTTCCCTGAGGTACATATCTCTAAATGCTCTAAATTCTGAGTCGGCAAAGGCATATATGTTTTCAGAGGAGGTAAGGATATATACATCGAGAGGTGTGTACGTAGGGAGGTGAGTGCTAGTGAGGGGCACTTGATCCATAGAACTGGAGTTACCCTTCCTTGGACTGAACCTGAATTCCTTCCATTCTCCGTGTTCAACGCTTCTCCCCTGATTAAAATAAAATCTCAGGGGAGGTACTTTATAACTGGGGCTGTCCACCAGCATCCGGTAGACAATGTTTATAATGGGGCTGTCCACCAGCATCTGGTAGACAATGTTTATAAGGTGGCTGTCCACCAGCATCTGGTAGACAATGTTTAATTTAATGGTAGACGTTAGCTGTCCACCAGCATCTGGTAGACAATGTTTATAAGGTGGCTGTCCACCAGCATCTGGTAGACAATGTTTATAAGGTGGCTGTCCACCAGCATCTGGTAGACAATGTTTATAAGGTGGCTGTCCACCAGCAGCATGAAGACAATGAAGGAAATCTAGTATTTTTATTTGTAATAATTTGTTAGTTCCCGGGTTTTCAGACGTTTTACGTATATTTTCATGTTCGTTTGAGTATTATATTCAGCATTTCTTAAAAACGTTTTGCTTGAAAGAAAACTATATAGGAATAAGATAATTTTGTATTCCAGCCATTAAGATCAAGGACACTAATAAGGAAAAACATTACAATCTGGGGAACGTAATTAACCTACTGTGAATGGGCACTACTTTAGTGTTTAAAACATTTCAGTTGAGCATTTCAATGGCGGCAGCATCACATCCCTAAGGTCAGTAAAGTTATGTAATTATTGACGTGTATATTTATTTAGGATTTTTCTCTATCTAGATACACATCATTTGTGAAATTTTGACATTATTAACAGTTGTGGATGTAGGAATTTCCCACAATAATCTGTCGAGAACAATTCTCTCATAAACTTTAAACATACATGATTCAGAATTTTATTTAGTCTTCGTCTCCCGGAGAAAATTGTTGTGGACAGCTTGGCGTGTCTCGACCTAACTGGTTTTCTTACTCTCATGCTACAACGAAGAGGTGCCGTTGACGGCAGATTCCATCTTGTTGTGATTCTGCATTCTAGGAGCTGTTTTGTGTTTGGTCCAGTGGGTGATAATGGCACAGTAAGGTTGGTTACAGCCCACACGGTTAGCCTGGTGCACTGTCTGAGGCAGAGGCAGGCCCAGAGTCTCTGGCAGGAAGGTGCTCACTATGGCTCCACATACACACAGGCTACTCAGGATATAATAAGGCAGCTTCTTGTCCGTATTGCCCTGCGGAGACCACACACAGTTACATCATACAAGCAAAAATTTGCAAGGGTTGCAAAACTATTTGCATAGAATAAAGGTCCCAATACTATGGCTGGAGGAATTCTCAACTCACAAATTGGAAAAAAATCTTGAATGATGTTTCGGTTTGTCCTGTAATCTGGATCATTATCATATGATCCAGGACGAGTCGAAACGTCTTCCATTTTTTTTCAGTTTGTAGGTTGTGAATACTATGACTGATCTGAATGAGTTAACATGAGACCAAGTGTGACATACCAAGGCCATGAGCGTGGGGACAAGAACAGTAGCTGAGAGGCCGGTGACCGCCGTCACACCGTAAGATATGGAACGAAGTGGTGTTGGGAAGAGCTCCCCGATCTGCATGTACACTACCAGCACCGCCTCCGTCACAAAGAGCTTAACCAAGCCGCAAAAAGTCACCAGCAACCACTGATCTAAAAGAGGAGGCACAAAACTTTTGATTTCATGACTAGAATTAGTTGCCTTCTTCCTATTTTATTCTGCTAACTCGGGCTCACTAATAGTACAGGCAGTACTGGCATTGTCCCTGACTTACCCAAGTCCTTCCGTTCTCCAAGTCTTACCAGTGATTGCAGTAGAGGAAAGGCCACTGAAGATGGCGCTGAGGGAGAGGCTGTAGATGATAGCTAGTCTTCGACCCAGGTACTGTGCCGACACCATGCCCAGCAGGTTACCAGGGATCTCTACCAGAGATAAGACGAAGAAGTTGACGAACTCGTTGCCCGTCATGTTGTGGATGTTGAGCACAATGCCAGAGTACACCACGCAGAAGATCACCCTGTTTACCATCACAGATATGTTACTTATTGATAATAATTTCAAGTGACATTAACATATAGTTGGAAAAAACAAAAGATGAAAACACTAAGACATTTTGTGTTGTTTTCATATTAATAAAATTAGTACGTCAGCAGAGTGCTGCTATCCATTTTATATGGAAGATACTTTGTGGGGACACCCGCAGCCTGCTGCTACTCTATTATATGAGTTGCACTGTGGGAACATTCACAGTATGCTGCTACCCTATTCAGTAAGCGTTAAATTGTGGGAATATTTACTATATGCTGCTACCCTATTTTATGATAAGTAAATTGTACGAACAATGTCTAGTTGTTTTCCTGTCCTAGTCCATCAGAGGATGGTTTTGTGAATTATTATGTGAGGAAATTACCTGCATGAGGTTTACAGGGTATTACCTGAATTATTACAGGCAAGTAATTTGGGTGGGATAAGTGGGACTTAAATCACAGTGGGTCACAGGACTGTAACTCCCTCGATGCCCATTCCCTATCACTCTCACAAAAAGCTAAACCCGACATTAAATTAATAATTACAATATTAAAACCAGCTACTTTAGTAAATTAAAGTTGTGGACTGGATATGATTAGGCTTGCTTGGTATACAAAGGAAATTCGTATTACCACTTACCATTTAATTACTGTAGATGAATCACACCACCACCTGCCTAACCCAGACCCTACACTGGCCAGCTAGAGATCTAAATGAAAAGACTAATGGTGCACTTTCCTGTGAGTGATGGTCATCCATTATCTTCCGCCATCCACACGTAATTCTTGAGGTCCCGCAAATTTCATGTCCCAATTCTTCAGCAGGGGACATTAACACGTATTCCTATTACAAATTCTGATTGAAAAAAACCCAATTTGACCACGAAGACGCCGGATTATTAGCCGAATTTTCCACGACAACCAATGCCCACAAATTATAAATGGAGCCCCCCCCCGGCGTCACTCCAATGCTGTTCTGCATCCCCCCCCCCCTCATTCGAAATTTCTCGAAAGGGTCAAACCAGCACCACATCTTATTGCACAATTATTGTAATATTCAAATTTACACATGCTGAATTCAGGAAAACCAAAAATTTTCTACAGATGGGTTGCATACATGAAGTGTCGCACTCCGTCACACAGGATGGGATGTATACACTCCAGTAGATGTCACACTCCATCACAAAGATTCCAGTTTTATACCTGAGGAGTGAGGATAGGCTGGAGTTGATCACGTGTCTTTCTGCTTCCTAACCAAATAATAAATCTTGATTTTTCATTTATTTTCGAATATATTTGCCTGCTTGTTTATACACTGATTAAATTTCATGCTTTCTTATCTACAGGCATAACAAATCTCTCAACCTGTCAAAATATTTTTGAAATTATTTATGAATTTAATGATTATATTTATCACATGAAAGAATTATGTATTCTGTAACTTGTTTCATCATCTCATCTGCTTTTCTAATTATCTGGAGGTTCATAATTAACCCACAAATTAGAAATATAAACTAGAACACGATTATTCCCGTCCCTGACCATTATTAAGTTCACGAGGAACCATCGAAAGGTCATCTAATATTATTTTCAAACGTGTGGGTTAATTATCAATTGTTCCATCCATGTATTGCGAATTATTAATTTATCTGAAGAAAGGCTACCGTGGTACTACAGTAGTAGAATATACTACCATGACATGAATTGATCAAGTCCCTAGTGGACGAAACGTCTTCATAAAATACCATAACCCGCGAACTGTTTTACTTACATTCACTACCAACCACGACAAGAGGTAATATGAGCCTGGGGACATCACCAGAACACTGGGTTGGTAGACACCAACCCTCCAGAATACACTTATTATAATTTTCTTGTGTCTTAATAGTTCATTGTCCTGTAATATTTCCTTTCCTATTTAAGAATCCTGGGGTGAAACCGAGCAGTAGGGGGCAATGATCCTCGGAAATATAAATAGATAACACAACGCCCCTTCAAGCAATGCCAAGACGCTAGTGTAGTCTTGATCTAAGGAACTGATCTAAGGAACCCTTCATGCCATTCGATCAAACCTGATTACTTGCTGATTCCTTTGCAGGTTTTTTTCATTTTCCATAAAACTATTACTACTACTACTACTAATAATAATATTAATAATAACACACATATTGAGAGTAGCGATGAGGAGGTGTTTCCTGAGCATTTTATGTTTGAGGAGGTCCCTGACGGAGGCGGGCTTCTCAGCAGCCTGGGCCTCCTGCAGTAGACGGCGAAGGTCTTGCGGAGTCTTCCGGCCATTAGTGGACGCCACCTGGGTCATGATGGCCTCACATTCCTCCACACGGTTCATGGCGAGCAGCCACCTCGGCGACTCAGGCAGGAACCTGGCAAGACCGGAATGGATTAAGGTCTCTGTAGGCCCTAGTAACTCTTAATCGTAGCCACACTAAGACATCCACAAGTCTGGTAAGAGACAGATGCAGTATAATGCGATTATTATCAACACTTCGACAACACAGTGCCTTTTATCAAGTCACCGATGTTTGTAATCTGATAAAGCCTGCTGTGCGGCCAAAACGTTAATAAATGCTCGCATTATACTGAATGTGTTTCTTTCTCTATCGTGTTGGTATATCACTTCTCTCCATCTGCACGTCTACAACACTACTGGCCATTCGTGGAGGGTACCCTGATGCTGGGGAAGCCTCATGATCCAAGAAACTGGGGCTAGCCTTACCTTCACTGAATCATACCTAATTACTTCTAATTCCCAGAGGTGTATGATTCCTACGGGTTTATCGCTTCCACACTAATATAATAATAATATGATGTATCGACTGATACGTGATCCGAGAGTTAATACGCCTCCCGAAGCTGACCCAAGACAAGAGGCCTGGTAGATAGTCCTCAGAACTCTGAAGAGGCAGAAGAGCTACGGCTGAACATCCTCAAAAGACATGAGGCCATAATTCAACCCGCGAAGAGGCCCAAGAGCAGGAAATTAACCCGGTCAAATATTGTGGAAATGTTAACGCAATAACGAGGCTAGAAAATCAAGACTCCGTGAGTGTATCCTGGCTTCAGACAACCACACACTGAAACACATCATATACCACATAAAACTTGTAAAGTGCCGCATACAGGGCTTAATTTACGGAGGGAACACCCATCTGATCACCACAAAGAATGAATATGTGTATTCCGATGTAATAGAGTATGTCTCAACATTCCGGGGATATTATGAAATGACTTACTGCCAATCTGAAAAGGACCTTGAAACTGCGTAAAGGATCCTACTGTACGTTTGGAAAAGGACGTGTTTCTGGAGACTCGAAACTGAAATCGAGTCTTGCAGAATCACTGAATCATTTAGAAGATTTAAAGTGATGATAATCCAAGGAACTGGAGCTAGCCTTCCTTTCTTTGGATCACATCTGATTGCCTCCCATTCCCCAGGTTCTAAGTAGCCCCCATGACTTTTATAATAATACAAATGGTAATGGATGCTTGGGATTCACTTGCAAGACAATTTATGTGTAAGACAGATTGCATTACCTCCAGTAGAGCAAGAAGAGAATGGACGGGGTGTGGCAAAGGATGCCGAAGGTCCGCCAGTTAGCGAGGAGCCAGGCGCAAAGCGCGACGCAACACATGCCCAGCGTCCCTAACACGAAGGACAGAGCCGCCGTCAGTCCACGAAGCTTCTCGGAACTCAGCTCCACCACTGTCGCAACCAACACTATGTCACATACTGATCATATAAGAACATTAGATATATCAACGAACAATTATGAAACTAACATGACTATGACATGGTAGTCAATCATAGATTTGTATAGAACAATCTTGGCTTGTTTTTATTTTTACCAATAATGCAAACGTTATATCCTTTAGGTATTAAGAGTTTTAGCCTTCTTTTAAATCTGCTGTACATGTCTTTTACGATGGCTTTGCTTATTTCCTCCTATGGTGCTATTTGGTGCTGATGAGGGGCTCTTGATCTTACGAATTGGATTTGTCCTCCCCTTACTTGGATCGAACCTGACTGCCTCCCATTCCCAGCCGCTGTATGACGCCTATGGGTTTAGAGCTTCCCACTAAATATAATACAATAATAATTGTTCATGTTCACAGATTTCTGAGATTTTGCTCTTTATTAGAAAGTTAATAGTATGATGACTTTGTCATAAGATTTTAGCTTTATCTGTTGATATTATGAGACCATATGACAAACGCAGCTTGTAGTCTATTAGGTGGTGCTTACAGTTCCTTATGTAAGTAGGATATTTTGTTTGTTAGAAGAAATATTAGCATTTCTCTTGATGCGGATCTAGTCATACGAGGCTCTCAAAGTGGAGTTTTTAGTCATATATGACCGAAGCCTTCCGTTGTTACTGGTCCAACCTGTAAAAATAAACGTTTTTTTTTTTAACTACGGTGTACTCGGCCTAGCCTCAGGACACATGCTCTCTTCTGTGGGAAATACTCACTAATGATATATGGCATCTGGTAGATACTGAAGAAGGCAAAGCAGGTGAGGAAACGGGCAGCAGTGAAGAGTTGCCAGGTAGGCATGTACATGTTGACGACGCCGAAGAAGTTGATGGTGGCTGCCAGGAAGAACACTGGCCGACGACCCACTCTGAAGCAGGAATGAAAGAGGTGGTAGTAAAGGATGCCATGTTTGCTAAGTTCTACACTAGCTGTTGGATTATTGCAGAATATTATACACATATCATTTAACCTCTCTCATACATGGTGTCGTATTTGCAGATATGTTTTCTTTAATATCTTATTATCTATCAAAACAGCAAATAGCACATTTACACGATTAGCAAAGGTTTTGTGTAAACTGGAAATTTATACAAGTTTTCTACCATAATTTATAAACAGTTAAAATTTAGTTGACTTTTATAGATTCCTCTGCAACTATGTATGATGCAGAACTACACCAGTGGTTCCTGATTTTTTGACAAGAGCCACATAATATGGTATTCTAATTCTCATAACATTAAAAAAATGTAGCCTCAATCTGCTCGTTATATTCCCTAGTAGCTTTCCACTCAGCGTAATGTTCTTAACACCCGAAATTTTTGGCTGAGGTTATAATGACTTCATGAAACTGAGACAGCCACCGGACTCAAATGTATACACACCGTGTATGTATATTGAGAGTTTTAGGGATTAAAATCTTTATTTGTGTACCGGTGAAATGCATTCTTAATGACCCTGGTGCAGTTTACAGTCTAACCACAGGAGACGACTTAGCTTGATATGAGTGAAGTTAGACAAGGGCAGCAGAGACCTGTCAGCCAGGATGGAAAGCAGCAGCGTCCCGACGGCGTTGCCAGCCACAGCCAAGGAGAAAATGGTGGTGACTGTCGAAGCTCGCTCACACACCCAGTTAAAGTGTGTGACTGCCGTCTCCTGCCAGTTAGTACGGTCATAGTCCCACCCAAACTGACACTCTATCCAGGAAGAGGAAGGGAACGGGCAAAAGCTGGTGAAATGGTTTCGATATAGGTATATGGTTGATCAAAATGAGAAAATATCTATGAAAGCAATCAGAAAATAATAAAAGTGTTGATTGAAGCTTTTCCAGCAATGGCAAGAAGTATTGTAGTGTGGACAACAAGGATAACCCCAAGTGGCTGATGTTGACCTGGAAGTTTGGTACTAGTGTGGACAACAAGGATAACCCCAAGTGGCTGATGTTGACCTGGAAGTTTGGTACTGGACGTTAGCTTCTCTTCAGGTGATTGATACATGGTCGGTGTGTGACTTACTGGTGGTGGTGGTTTGGTCGATGATGGTGTTGCCCTTTACACTGTAGGTGGTGTTGAACATGAAACACTTGCTGTGCTGTAGCGTCCCGTCTGCCCCAGACTCCCTGTGTAATGCAATACAAGCTAAAGTCAGTCAATCTCTCTGAACATGACAGTAGTTACACGAACTCCAATGGAAATAAGTCACTCTGGCTTTTTTGGGTTATCCTTGGGTCTCTAGGTATACCTGAATAAACGTACTTAACCTTTCCCTAGTTAAAGTTCACCAGCGGTGAAAATTTGGAGCCGATCGGAAAAGGTATTCCCAGTTTATAAATGAAAACCTTAGAGAAAGAACAATAATCTGGCAACCACTTAAACATACATATTCTGGGATATTTGATAAATAAAGAATGGAGGTAAAGTTACCTTTGTCTTCCGTCCTTGCATGTATTTTTCTAGCTTGTATGTTAACTTACTACGAGGGTGAGAGCAACTGTTATTTACACACCAACACATACTTGTTTTAAAATTTGTATTATGCTATTTTGAGATGTACAAGATTATATTTTCAAATGTGAAGGGCAGTGTGTGGTCGTGTCATACTCACCAAGGCAGTGTGTAGTCGTGTCATACTCACCAAGGCAGTGTGTGGTCGTGTCATACCAAGGCAGTGTGGTAGTGTCATACCAAGGCAGTGTGTGGTAGTGTCATACTCACTAAGGCAGTGTATGGTCATGTCATACTCACCAAGGCAGTGTCATACTCACCAAGGTAGTGTGTGTGGTCGTGTCATACTCACCAAGGCAGTGTGTGGTATTGTCATACTAAGGCAGTGTGTGACCGTGTCATACCAAGGCAGTGTGTGGTAGTGTCATACTCACCAAGGGAGTCCGTAGTCGTGTCATACTCACCAAGGTAGTGTGTGGTCGTGTCATACTCACCAAGGTAGTGTCATATTGTGCCACTCCTCAGCCGTGAAGTCCTCACCACGACCCGGAACATGACAGGTGTGGGTGGGCGTGGAGAGCATAAGCAGGAGGGAGGAGGCGCCGAATGGAGAGTAGAAGGAGAGTGGCAGCATGAAGCAATACAACAAGAGCTTCTGGTAGCGGCCCTCCGTCCCTACAGCAGCCATCACGCGCTCGAAGGAGCTTAAAGCAGGGCTCTTGTCACTATTCAGATCTCCACCGCTCGTCAGCATTTTGCTTTCGTTGTGTCCTGCCTCACATTCATTCATCGTGCAGCTTTAAGAGTATTTATGATATTACAGGAACTGAATACTCGGAGAAATGCCGCTTCCTGTTCAGTCATGTAGCAGAGCCTGTCTAAAAAGAGAAAGGTACATTAGGTATTACGCGAAGGATTAGTAATGGAGCTCTGCAATATGTGCACTGCTCACCTATACTGAACTGGTGACTGCTTTCTGGCGACAGAAACTTAGGGCTTAAATCCAGAGGGAGACGACTGGCAGTGGGGTTCTTTACGTACGGCGCATCTATCACGCCCCACAATAGCGCCATGAACAACAACATGTATTTTGGCCGCTGCACGATCTGAGACAAGTATCACTGCAATTCATAACTCCAGTTCCCCGTGTCTCAATGCTAAGTGATTGGAATAGAGTGTGGCATAAGTTGACCATGCGTTGAAGATTTTAAGGGAAACAGAAGAGGCAGTCCAAAGTCATCATTTGGAATTTAATTTCCCAATTTCTCCAAAAAAAAAGGTAAATTAAGACATACGCAACCCAAATCTAATTGAAATCGTTCATTACTGCAAGTTTAAAGATAACCAGATGATGCATTTTCCAGTTACTTCACAGAATCCAACAAAATTTGTACCTAAACAGCCTAAAGCCAAAAAATGTTCCATCCATATCATACTGTGTATCGGCCATTAAAGACTGATGCCATTCACAATTGTCCTATTTTAATCAGACCAAAGGGGTCTTATAACGCCTGGGGAATGGGAGACATTCAGATTCGATCAAAGGGAAAAATAAGTCCAGTTCCTTGGATCAAAAGCCCCTCACCAGCATCAAGCATAATAATGCAATGAACATTAAAATGGTATAAAATACCGACAGGTTGTTAGGTAAGACACATATGCAACAGTTAGGTATCTTTATTATGAAACGTTTCGCCTACACAGTAGGCTTCTTCAGTCAAGTACAGAAAAGTTGATAGAAGCAGAAGATACTTGAAGACGATGTAATCAGTCCATCACCCTTAAAGTTTTGAGGTGGTCAGTCCCTCAGTCTGGAGAAGAGCATTGTTCCATAGTATGAAACAATATGGAGATGAAGTGACAGAATGGAGCTTTTTATAGCGCCAAGAGGTGAGACGTAGGCCACTAGGAGAGGTAAGAACTCAGATGTTGAAAGGTCAGGTCCCTCTCAAATCCAGCCGCTCTCACTAGTGGAAGTTGTCGAAGTTGATTGCAGGTCTGTACCAAGTACCCTTGTGTTGCAGTGTCTGACAGATTGAACATTAAAATGGTATAAAATACCGACAGGTTGTTAGGTAAGACACATATGCAACAGTTAGGTATCTTTATTATGAAACGTTTCGCCTACACAGTAGGCTTCTTCAGTCAAGTACAAAACTGAAGAAGTACAAGACTGAAGAAGCCTACTGTGTAGGCGAAACGTTTCATAATAAAGATACCTAACTGTTGCATATGTGTCTTACCTAACAACATAATAATGCAATAATGTAAAATAATACTCAACCATTTCGAGACTAAAAGTGGCAAAATGGCATCCACACATTCCATTAAATATACCAACCTTCTAATGACCCTTAAGGGTTTAGCGCTTAGTTATGATGCCGATCGAATGAGGATTTCTCGAGCAATTTTATGAGATAATAAAATGTTGCTGAGAATGTTCCGTAAAATATAAAAATCTTTCCTCGTTTAAACTTAAAAACGCTATAAAAAACTCAAATTTAGATTGTTTTTCCATTCTCTTTTCTCATATTCTATTTAAAATTCTCTACAATCCTTTAAGAAAAAATATTTATTTTTGATATTTAAAAATACAGTTTGATAAAATTGGCAAAAACGAGCAAATTAGTACTCACACGTCCCAAAATTTATACATAAATACTTCCAATAAAAACACAACCAGCATTTCAGGTTTGAAGCTGATCAGAAGAGGCATTCTTTAGTTTTTACATGGGAAACAATCTTCTTAAGAAAACTGGCAGATTTACATAGGTCAGAGTAAAAATCTGTATTTTAATATTAATAATAGATGGGTCATCACGAGGTTAAGACCCATGCCAGGACTCCGGTTATGGCGAACATTAAACAACTGTATTTTAATAGTATTATATACTTAATGGTTATAATCATAACCATGATTTTTAAAGAGGTGGACCAGTAAGCCAGCGGAAGGCCTCGGTCAGATGACTTCAAGCTGTGGGTCATCATATGACTAAGACCCGCGTCAGGAAACACTTGTCTTGTTTTCTGACAAGCATTATACCTACCTGTATTTTAATAAAGCACACCAACACACCAATAGTGAATGTTTGAAGGCGATCAGAAAAGACATTCTCCAGTAATTGATTCGATTCCAACGAAGTCAGGTTTTTAACAATTTCAGTAAAATATCAAAATTGCACCACCTGGGACTAAACTTACAGATCCACCTGCGGGGGTACCTAATATAAGCTTAGTTACTATAAAGCTCAAGCACGTTTTCTTTTTATCTCGAAAAATATGTATTAAGTCACAATACCTTGGCTAGAATAAATAATCCGCACTTACGAGAGGAAGGAACCTTATGATGTTTCTGCTCGTCTTGAACCACTCTCAAGTCACAACTTAAAATGTACATATTAACGTGGGAGTATTACCAGGTTGCTATTTATATTCTGTTCACTGTTAGTAATTAAATACCTGGTTATCTGTACTTTCTACAATCTTACATATCAAACACTTGACTTATCAAATACCTTCAGAGGTTACGATTAAACATTTACGTAGTATAGGCAACACTAAGACAATTCTTCCACTCCATTTACGTTCGGACCATTTCCAGGACTAGTCATGCAGCACAGCTGAGCTGGTCATGCAACACAGCTGAGCTGGTCATGTAACACAGCTGAGGTGGCCATGCAGCACAGCTGAGGTGGTCATGCAGCACAGCTGAGGTGGTCATGCAGCACAGCTGAGGTGGTCATGCAGCACAGCTGAGGTGGTCATACAGCACAGCTGATGTGGTCATGCAGCACAGCTGAGGTGGCCATGCAGCACAGCTGAGGTGGTCATGCAGCACAGCTGAGGTGGTCATGCAACACAGCTGAGGTGGTCATGCAACACAGCTGAGGTGGTCATGTAACACAGCTGATCTGGTCATGCAACAACCTCACGTTCCTACATTTATTGGTCCACACCACAAGTCCGCCGACCCACATGCCACAAACTGTCACGGCTCACATTATAAGCAACGTTTCCTATTACTTTAGTCAAAATAGTATTACAAAACATAATATAACTCAATTTTCTAATGCAAAAGTCATTCAACACTCATTGCCTGCGAAGTCTTTAATGTGAATTATTCCTAGGTGCCGTGTAACTTTTACAGGAATATATTATATATATATATATATATATATATATATATATATATATATATATATATATATATATATATATTCTTTCAACAAACCGGCCGTATCCCACCAAGGCAGGGTGGCCCCAGAAAGAAAAACAAAAGTTTCTCTTTTCAAATTTAGTAATTTATACAGGAGAAGGGGTTACTAGCCCCTTGCTCCCGGCATTTTAGACGCCTCTTACAACACGCATGGCTTACGGAGGAAGAATTCTGTTCCAATTCCCCATGGAGATAAGAGGAAATAAACAAGAACTAGAAAGAAAATAGAAGAAAACCCAGAGGGGTTTGTATATATACGCTTGTACATGTATGTGTAGTGTGACCTAAGTGTAAGTAGAAGTAGCAAGACGTACCTGAAATCTTGCATGTTTACGAGACAGAAAAAAGACACCAGCAATCCTGCCATCATGTAAAACAATTACAGGTTTCCGTTTTACACTTACTTGGCAGGACGGTAGTACCTCCCTGGGCGGTTGTTGTCTACCAACCTGCTACCTATAATATATATATTGGAAGATGTTAAGTGAATCTATAGGAGCCTTTGAACCAAGTGAGAGAGTAATTGTGGTAGGGGACCTGAATGCTAAAGTAGGAGAAACTTTTAGAGAGGGTGTGGTAGGTAAGTTTGGGGTGCCAGGTGTAAATGATAATGGGAGCCCTTTGATTGAACTTTGTATAGAAAGGGGTTTAGTTATAGGTAATACATATTTTAAGAAAAAGAGGATAAATAAGTATACAAGATATGATGTAGGGCGAAATGACAGTAGTTTGTTGGATTATGTATTGGTAGATAAAAGACTGTTGAGTAGACTTCAGGATGTACATGTTTATAGAGGGGCCACAGATATATCAGATCACTTTCTAGTTGTAGCTACATTGAGAGTAAAAGGTAGATGGGATACAAGGAGAATAGAAGCATCAGGGAAGAGAGAGGTGAAGGTTTATAAACTAAAAGAGGAGGCAGTTAGGGTAAGATATAAACAGCTATTGGAGGATAGATGGGCTAATGAGAGCATAGGCAATGGGGTCGAAGAGGTATGGGGTAGGTTTAAAAATGTAGTGTTAGAGTGTTCAGCAGAAGTTTGTGGTTACAGGAAAGTGGGTGCGGGAGGGAAGAGGAGCGACTGGTGGAATGATGATGTGAAGAGGGAGAAAAAGTTAGCATATGAGAAGTTTTTACAAAGTAGAAGTGATGCAAGGAGGGAAGAGTATATGGAGAAAAAGAGAGAGGTTAAGAGAGTGGTGAAGCAATGTAAAAAGAGAGCAAATGAGAGAGTGAGTGAGATGTTATCAACAAATTTTGTTGAAAATAAGAAAAAGTTTTGGAGTGAGATTAACAAGTTAAGAAAGCCTAGAGAACAAATGGATTTGTCAGTTAAAAATAGGAGAGGAGAGTTATTAAATGGAGAGTTAGAGGTATTGGGAAGATGGAGGGAATATTTTGAGGAATTGTTAAATGTTGATGAAGATAGGGAAGCTGTGATTTCGTGTATAGGGCAAGGAGGAACAACATCTTGTAGGAGTGAGGAAGAGCCAGTTGTGAGTGTGAGGAAAGTTCGTGAGGCAGTAGGTAAAATGAAAGGGGGTAAGGCAGCCGGGACTGATGGGATAAAGATAGAAATGTTAAAAGCAGGTGGGGATATAGTTTTGGAGTGGTTGGTGCAATTATTTAATAAATGTATGGAAGAGGGTAAGGTACCT